GATGCTCAAAGTTCCTGTAATATACCCCCTACTTTAACAGGGAGAGGGTCTAATGCTACATATCCTCCACTGCACACCTAAGAATGATTAGCTTGTGGATCTAATGAGTCCAAAAGTTGTTTGGAAAGAAGGAATAAACCTAAAAAGAAAAACATCACTGTATTTAGGACATCACTTATCTCTTATCATGACATGTTTTAAGAGGTGATATTTTTAATGGGATCATGTTATTAACAAAAGAGTGTACAAGTTAGAAGGAAAGCAGAATGAGAAACTAGTAATCTTGTACATGCAAATAATGACCTGAGGTCACCACAGTGATGAAAATGGTCTCTAGCAGAAAATGAAAAAAAAAAAATTTAACTACTGAGTATGTTCCTGAGGAATTCAAGAAGCAGAAAAGTGAGAGTGGAAAAAGGACTAGAAGTTTCTGACAGCAACTGCCTATCAACTCTGAACTCAAAATATTCTCTGGCAAGGAATAAATCAACAAAGTAAATTCCTGATTTATATAGGAAGTCAAGAGTTCAGAAACAAGAGAACAATCCTTAAGAGAGAAAAATGTGTAAAAGAACCTGTAGTACAAGTTAGAAGACCAGTTCCTCTCTCTTAGCTCTTCTCTTAGTGAAAGGCACACATTTTCCTCAACTTTAATGAAGCAGTCGCTGGAGACCTTTGACTATAGGGGGCAGATGCCAAGGTGGATGTTTTTTCAAACGTCCATTCTGGGAGGAGCCAGTCCGTACATGGGAGGTTTCAAGAGTCACTAAAGCATAAGGGAGATACAGCAATGTTCAACAAACAGCTGAGAGCTGTGTTTAGCAAGCAAGAGAGGAAATAATGCAATATTATGAAAACTGAGTGTCCAAATAATTTCATCAAGACGGGCAACTACTGGGCTAAAATTATCTAAGCAAGACTTCTACTGTACTAGATGTGCATGTCCTGTTTCTGCAGCTGGATTAGTTTTGCTACAGGTGAATATACTGTCATCAGAATATGGCTCTGTCTTTTCAGCCCTCAGTATCTGGTATCTTACTTTCTCTAATCTCATGTCGTCCCTTTTTTGTCCTCCTAAGAGTCACTGCCAATTCAAGAATACTTGAGCCTGAATGAATGAGGTGGTGGCAGAAGCCAGCATATCCCCTTCTTCCAGCTTCTGTCTGGATCTAACCTTTCAGAAACTCTTAGGGCAGGGACATACATACACTTCTGGGCAGCAGGGGGCTCGAGCAAGGACTCTGCAGGCACTAAGTCTGGAGTCTGAATCCTGCCTCTAGCACTTACTACTAGGGCCTTGAAACAGTTATTTAACCCATGTCTCTGCTTCTTCATCTGGAAGATGAAATATTGATAGAGTGGTAATGAATATATTTCTATCATTTAATTGTATCATTAATATTAAGACTATGAATGAGAGACTTGGTAATTGAAACTGGCTACCTACTTTAAAAAAGGTTTTAGAACAAAGGTTTTCTGAAATGTTTAACGAGAGATGTTTAAAGCACTAGAGGGAAGGTAAACCTTGCCTTCACACTGAGGAGCTCTGAGTCCTCACCTGTAAAATTTCTAGAGCTTAAAATTCCTTACCTGATAAAAACTAAACTCTAAGATGACGCCTAAAGTCTTTTCTACCAAAGTATTTTCTGGGGACCGTGTTGTAAAAGAGAAGCCACTTGGGAAGAGCCTGTATTAAATCTGCCAGCCAGAGCACCAGGAGAGGGAGGCTCAAAATTGCATCAGGAAAGGCAGGGCAGGTGAGTACCCGATCACGGTGGTTGTTGTGGCACTGGGTCCACAGGCAGAACTTCTATCTGCTACTTGTTGCCCATGCATATGATGTCAAAGCAACTATTCTGTCTCCAAGAAACACAGATTAGAACAAGCCCTGACATTCAAAAACTGCCTGCATCACCAAAGATTTACGGAGTAATTCAAAGGGAAACATTGAAGAAAAAAATAAATCAAATAACATTAAAGTCAGTAAAACACTGAATATCCAAATAAATAATTTTTAAAGGGAGAGGTATTTGTTCCTTGGGAGAAAATGAAAACATACAGATGTAGCATGGTTGATGACAAGCAGGAAAATTCTGTTGCATGTGAGTGCTGCAGGTAACTGTTAGAGGTGGGTAAACCGTAAGTACCTCATCAATAGGAAAAAAAAAAAATCTCTCCCAGAAGTTTCTTAAAATGATTAGGATTTAAGATGTTTGGGAAATTGTTCATGATTTAACAATTTTCAAGAACACCTTCTCTAGTGCTTCCTGACACTAAACTAAACTAAATTGACTAATTCATACTTAACTCCTTTCAGATTAAAATACAGAGATTTCTAAGAGTAATTTAAGGGGGTGGGGGGTGGGAAGTCAAAGCTGTCAGGATGTTATTAGAATCTTTAATGAAAAGAAAGTCACTTCCAGGGCAGAACTTGAAGACTGAAGTAACATTAAAAAGTTTGGTTGAAAATAACACTGTTGAAAATAAGAGAAGTTGAGATAAGGTCTTGCTTGGGTATTTAAAAAATACTATATACCAGTTCACAGTGGGAAAATAATGCCAAGGAAAATTACTAAACCACAGAAAGCCCACTACAATCAATAGCAATACGAATGCACAGGATAAAAGGAGGATGGTGACAGAGCAGGGAGAAAAAGGGACCTGGTTAGTGTACATTTGCAGCAGCACTCAGAGTACAGCCACAAGAAAGAGACTTACACCAGAGCCCAACACAGGGACAGATTCTGTGACCTTGCAAATTAGCAAATCACTGGATCTTGATTTTCACTGTCAACTAGTCTTTGCTGATGTTCTAGGGTAGTATAAGCAGTCATCATCACAGCTTTTTAACTCAGAGTGTGGAAGTAATTCTCTGGGCTGGATTTAAGTTCAGAGGGTGACAGTTCTTTTAGAGGAAAAGGTGACTTTACCCTGAATGCTAGGGCACCAGGACAGGCCTGAGCACTGTGATCTCACACTCCTAGACACACACACACGTAACTAAGGGCTGCCAGAGGCACTCAGCCATCTGCTAGGCTCCCTATTAGAACAAAGTGCAGCCTGGGCCCACCAGATCACTTAAGGAAAAAGTAGTAACTGTCTTTAAAAAATGCTTATTTACTTGGAGGACGGAGGCAATGCTCTGAAGTTGCACTTAATTTTCATCACTAGGGTTATAATAAACCTGTAAATAAACAAAAAAGCTGGAAGAAGATGGAAATACAAAATTATTAGGCTATAACTATCATTAAGTCATGACAGTATCTTTCAAATATTGTACCCCTCCAGGGAGATAACCTCAAGTGCCCCATCATAAGACAGCACAAAACCACAAGAATTAGGAAGTGAAGAAAGAGGGCAAAATAGATCAGCTCTTCAAACATAAAGGGGAAGATATGAAAGTGAAGAAGAAAAAAAGCAAGACTATACATGAAAAGACAGACCAGAAGTCAAGACCCCTGGATCTGGTCATATAACCCTGGGCCAGCTACCTAACTAATCAGTCAATGTATGCTATGGAATGGAAATAATATACATCCTGCCTATCTCATAAGGTCTCTCTGCAGGTCCAATAGGGTAAAATATGTTACAGCACCTTGAAAATTATAAACCACAACACAAATGTAAGGTAACAGTATTATTACTTAAGTTGTCCCTCATTTCCAAAGAAAGAACAAGAATACAGTAGCTTCAACTTAAAATATTTTTCTTTCCTGTCAGTTAACATCACAGTTACTGGTCCTT